GGCGGGGTGTGTCGAGCGGGCGACGGGCGGCTGCAGCAGCGGGCGCGTCAGCGAGGCGCACAGGCAGCGCGCGGGCAGCGTGCGGGGCCGCGCGTAAAGAAAAACAGCCGCGCGCGTCCTGCTAGCGGGGCGCGCGCAGCGAAATCGACCGCGCGCGGGCGGCTAGCGGGATACGCGCGCTAAAAAAAAAGTCGAGTCGCGCGCGGGCGGCTGGCGGGCTGCGCGCGCGCGGTAGGTAGGAGGCGCACGAGGCGCACGGTAGGTAGGTAGGTATGTAGGTAACGGTGGGCCCTAAGAACGGTCCTAGCGAAGGACCTGCTCTGATACCATGTCAGTAATAACGGACTGGAATGATGGACTAGCAAGGATGGTGAGTACAAATATGAAACCCTAATGTTGTGACCCCCTATAGGCTAACCCACTACAGCCTACACAAATACAACATGTATAATGTTTGACATTTATGCATTTCCATTCCATGTTTCGTTTACTATATCCATCGTACCGTCTGCATGTCAGTTCCATTTATGCACGGCAGAATACTTCTGCGTATGCATTACGGAATAAACAGCCGCATGCTTACCATATTATCATTTTTCCACTAAATTCATCTATATGAAGAGCCAGAGCAAGTTATAAAAATAAAAAGAATATACTACCACACATCGTCATGAGCTGTTACCGCAAATGATTAGAAAACATTTAGGCTATCATTTACTAGATTTACATCCTTTTTGTTTTTTTTTTTTTTTCAATTATAGGCGTTGAAAAAAAAAATGTACATAACGAATGCAATAGGTTGCTTCGCAACCCAAAAAAGTCCCAACAAAATGAACGTCCGAATAAAACAACAGATAATGGGATGCACGAACCTGAAGCTCGTCGACATCTATTTTGGCGAAGATGATCGATGGGTATTCAGTCGCACGCTTGGTAAGGGCGCGCGTCTTTTGAAATCTAGCCCAAAGTTCATGTTTTTAGGTCGAATTTTTGCAAATGAACACAGGTCGACCAGTAGTCGACTATCTCGTCATTCATTTGTCGAGTCGCGTGTTCACCTTGACGAGGAGTACATGGCACAAGAAATGCTCGACTTTCAGAGGTCGAATTTGTACAGTAAAACCCGAGTCGCGCCCAGCTTTCGTATGTTACCCTGTCTATACAGTGGAGTTCGCTAACACTTTCAGCTTTGGTAACCTGGCGCGACGTTGTTCGTAACCATCGCGAAGCTCGCAGCTTCTTCGTGCGTGGGCAGAAGAACACACGATTGGAGAAAAGTGCTCGGGGATAGTCGAATGCGAGGTCGACCCTAGTTCAGTGTCCTTCTGTTTCGGCAACTTTGAGCTTGGACACACGATCGTCGTCAACAGCTCTTAACGGAATTGGCGAAGATGGTTACCAGCAAAAGTTCGACCTTTTTTTTGAACTTCTACACCAAAAGACACGCGCCCTAAAAACGGGAGCGATCATCTGGCAAGGGCCGCACCAAGTGGCTGTGAAATCCACGATCACCTGAAGAGCCAGGGAGCACTCAGGTCAGTGATTTGATCAGGTTCAGGTGCGATAACTACCGATAGTAGGAAACACAATACCGAAACCAGAATGTTTTAGACTCGGCCCGAAAGAGCATAATACAACCGCGGAATTAGGAGCGGAAGCGACGCTTAGAAATCTAGATCGACGCTGTCAGCTCACCACTCTCCCGTTGTCCGCGGATTGCCTGAGAATCGAACTCCACTCCTCCTCGGAGTGGAAATGCACAACGCCGCCGCGGGCAGCCATAGATTCTCGCGAGCACGCACAAAAACTATCGACAATCAGGGAAGAAAGGGTCACTTCGAATCCGCGTGTTAGGTGGCTCTGCAAGCAATTGCGATATAAGGGTTGCTGGCGTGCTTGATCGCTATGGAGACTGGGTCATCGTGGACTGGGAATGCTGGCAAATGCAATGCTCTTTAGTACTTGGCATTCGGGCACTCGGTTCGATCATCCTTCCGAGCGCTTATCTACCCTGCCGTATCTTGACTGACGTTCCCTTCCCCACACGTCACGTCGGGTCCGGTGTTCGTTGCACCCCGTCTGCACGTTTCTTACAGCTTCACCGTACTGTCTGCACGTTTCGCTGTACTGACAGCGTTAGGACGGACGGCTGTCACCGCAGGGTGAGCCCAAGAATGTACATTTTCGCACTTAACCCTACCCAACCATTTTTCGTTTCAGTGATACCCTTATAGTTCTATTTGAACCTTTTTCAACCGCATTCGGACGTACTCGCCTGACGCGCCCTCCCTAGTGCTCGACCGCGAGGATGACATTTCAGGGTGGTTTCGATTTCCTCGCAGGCCTTCCGCTTTCTTGTCGGTCATTTCGCCAGGTTGCCAGATGGTTCCGCACCAGTCTCGAGATCCCGATGCCAGGGGGGACCTGGCGAACGGGTCCCACGTGTTCGAAATTGTGCGCTTGTACTGTTCGACCGGGTTACTCTGTACACTCTTGTACGACAGCACCTACTCTCACCCCCAGCTCCCCATCACACAACCCCTGCCGAACCATCGAGGTTTTCGGAGGCAAATCCAGGAACATTATTTCCCGCCATCTCCCGCTCCCACCCGAAATCCCACACGCTTTCAGAACACGTCTCATTCGCCCCTTTTATCTTTCCCCGCTCCTCGCGTTCCGCCGCGCTCTTGTTTCGCCGCCCGCTCTTTCCGCCGCCTCTAGTTCCCGCCGACCTCCGTGCATGGCGCCGGAGCTCCCGCCCGCGGGGTCGGAGTACGAAGCTGCGCGGAAGCAGCGGATTCAGGAGAACCAGAAGCGAATGGCGGTGAGTCGCTTTCAAATGAACCCACTCTTCGTCGCCCGCGGCATACAAAATGCACGTGCTCGCAAGTCAAGTTACCGCTGCCGCGTCGCGTGGCGACGTGTTTTGAGTCGACTTAAAACGCGTGGCAACGTGACGCGCCTTTGTTCCGAACCTGAGCATTTAGGTTCGACACCAGCACGTTGCCTCGCTAGCGCCAATACTACTAGCTCCTAATTACAGCGAGGAGGGGAAACGGGAGATCGCCGGGGTCAGGAGGCTCGGTGATGCCGAGGATCACTGCGTGCTACTTTTGAGGATTCTCAAAAGCAATACCGAGGTTCATTTCGTGCAGTGGAAAGTATTTCTGAGACGTCCAGAATTCGAACCCCCTGTTGGCAGGATGCGTGCTCCTCGCTCCGTCACCAGCACTCGTGGTGCCCATGACGGGGCGCGTGTGAGGTATCTGAGTCGGAAGCATCGTGCTGCCCCGTACTGGCGCCTCGCAAAATGGCGCCTCGAAAAATGGCGCCTCGCAATGGCGCGTCGCAAAATGGCGCCTCGCAATGGCGCGTCGCAAAATGGCGCCTCGCAATGGCGCGGCGCAAAATGACGCCTCGCAAAATGGCGCATCGCAAAATGGCGCCTCGCAATGGCGCGTCACAAAATGGCGCCTCGCAATGGCGTCGCGCAATGGCGCCTCACAATGGCGCGTCACAAAATGGCGCCTCGCAATGGCGTCGCGCAATGGTTTCTCGCAAAATGCCACCTCCTGATGGCGCCTCGCGACTGGCGCATCACACGCGCACTCAACGTCAACACACTCATCATCACACACTACTGGAAGCATTAGATAGCCCTTTGTCTTACCTACTTAGCGAGCACCGCTGTTGGTGCTTTTTGATTTGAGATGTTTCAAAACGCATCACACGCGCACATAACGTCAACACACGCATCACACAATACTGGAAGCATTAGAGAGCCCATTGTCTCTCCGACTTAGCGAGCACCGCTGCTATGAGGTGACTTTTGAGTCGACTCAAAGCCACCTCACTGGCAACGCACTCATCACACACTACTGGAAGCATTAGAGAGCCCGTTGTCTTACCGACTTAGCGAGCACCGCTGCTGGTGCTCTTTGATTTGAGACGTCTCAAAACGCGTCACACGCGCACTCCACGTCAAGATGCTCACTCACTACATCACCCACTACTGGAAGCATCAGAGAACCCTCTGTCTTACCTACCGACCAAGACAGCAATGCTGCTGGCGCTCTGATTGTGCTTCTCCATCTGCCTCCCATACCTCTCCCTCCCTTTCCCCTTTCCCCTTTCCCCTTTCCCCTTTCCCTCCCCGCTTTCCCCTTTCCCCTTTCCCCTTTCCCTCCCCGCTTTCCCCTTTCCCCTTTCCCCTTTCCCTCCCCACTTTCCCCTTTCCCCTTTCCCTCCCCGCTTTCCCCGAGCTGGGGCCTGGAGTCCCTGAGTGCCCTTCCTGACTTTGAGTCGATGCAATAATTCACCTCTCCCTTCCTTTCCCCTTTCCGCTTTCCCCTTTCCCCTCTCCCTTCCTTTCCCCTTTCTGCTTCCCCCTTCCCCTCCCCGCCTTCTCCGAGATGGAGCGTGGAAGCCTTGAATGACCAAGCCTCTGCAAGGCCTTTCCTTGCTGGCCCCTTCTCCTCTCATGTCCTCTTTCCCTACTTCCTCAAACCCTCTCCTCCCTCCCTGCGGCCAGCAGGAGCTGGGCATACTGAAGGCCTCGAGGGAGCTGTCCTTTTGGGGCCTCAACGTGCTGACCCACCACCTCCCACCACCTCCCACCACCTCCCACCTCCTCCCACCACCTCCCACCACCTCCCATCCCACCACCTCCCACCACTTCCAAACCCCTCCCAAACCTCTCCCTCTCCTCCCTCCCTGCGGCCATCAGAAGCTGGGCATACTGCTGAAGGCCTCAAGAGATCTTTCCTGTTGGGGCCTTTGCTTGCTGTTCCCTTCTCTTCCTCTCTCACCATCTCCCACTCCCCAACCCTCCCACGCCTTCCACCCTCACTGCTCCTCCCTACGCCATCAGGAGCTGGGAATACTGGAGGCATCAAGGGATCTGTCCCCTTGGAGCCTCAACATGCTGTCCTCTCTCATAACCACCTCCCACCACCTCCAAACTCCTCTCAAACCTCTCCCACCCCTCCCCACGCCATCAGGAGCTGGGAATACTGGAGGCATCGAGGGATCTGTCCTCCTCACAGGAGAGCAAGGCCACTGTGAGTTATTTCTGCGCCCCTGCTCTCCTCTCTCTTCGATTTGTATCCAAAGTTGCTCAAATTTCAGGTGAGAATGCATGCGTGTGGGTGTGTGATTGAGTGAGTGAGTACGAGCGTTGGTTGGACTGCTGTCAAAGCACTTCGAAGCCCAACATTGGTCTGAACTGAAGCACACCTGCTGGTAGGGTTATCTCAAACTGTTGGGATGATCTGCAATTTGAGTTGAGACGACAATCAGCTTGGGGGGGGGAATGATGTGGAAGGATTTTGAGGTAGTGTACATGTGGTGGTGTTTCTTGGGTCGTGACTCGTCAATGACATGTAAATGTCTAAAACGTCTAGACGACCGTGGTGGTTGGATTTTGCAACGCCTTTACCACAATCGCTGATGGGTGGGTCAGGTCAGTATTGTCGATTGGTCGCACCAATATGGTTTTCGAGGCGCCTCAAAAGTCGATTGGTCGCACCAATTTGGACGAGCCACTTGAACCAATAAGTTGGTCAACTCAACTTCACTGAAACTCGATTCCCTCCCTCCCTCCCTCCCTCCCTCCCTCGCTCCCTCCCTCTCCCTCCCTCCCTCCCTCCCTCCCTCCCTCCCTCCCTCCCTCCCTCCCTCCCTCCCTCCCTCCCTCCCTCCCTCCCTCCCTCCCTCCCTCCCTCCCTCCCTCCCTCCCTCCCTCCCTCCCTCCCTCCCTCCCTCCCATCGTCACCCATCCTCCTCACCCGTCCTCACCCCTCATCACCGCGCCAGACCCCGCGTAGCGAGGTGAAGAGGGCGCCAAGGCAGCGGGAGCTGCTGCTGCCTCAGCGCAAGTCAGCCCGCATGGCCGCCAAGGGGGAGCGACCAAGATACGTTGAGGAGGTAAGTTAGCTGGATGGAATGGGAGGAGGAGGGGAGATGAGGAGGGTTACGGTGGGTGGGTGGGTGGGTGGGTGGGGGCAATGAGGCACAATGCACAACCTGGTACAATGGGAGCAGCAGCAGCGGCGGGAGTTGCTGCTGCTACAACGCAAGCAAGCTCGCATGGCTGCCAAGGGGGGACGACCAAGATACGTCGAGGAGGTGAGGTGGATTGAACCGGCGGGTGAGGGTAAATGAGGGATTAATAGGGCACAAGGCGCATCCGTAGGATAGCAGTGCTGCCGGTGCCGCTACAGCTCAGGTCAGCTCGCATGGCAGCCAAGGGGGGACGACCAAGATACGTCCAGGAGGTGAGTGAGATGGGATGGAAATTGGGGTCGGGGGAAGGGAAAAGGTGGAAGAGGGTAAACGCACAAGGCACAAGGCACAACTTAAGCATGGCAACGGGAGCTGCTGCTGCCACAGCACACGTCGGTTCGCATGGCGGCCAAAGGAGAATGGCTGAGATTCGCTGAATTGGTGAGTGAGATGGAAAGATCTGGGTGTTGAGGGGTTAAGGCACAAGGCAAGGCACAACCCGGGGATGTGAGGCATTGGTGCCCCTGTTGCTGCCACAGTGTACGTCAGCTCGAATGGCGGCCAAGCGAGCAAGGCAAGAGGGGCCTCCGAAACTGGTGACTTTTGAGTCGACTCAAAAGCAGACTCATTGTACCCGTGGGACCTCACATACAGTGTACGTCAGCTCGAATGGCAGCCAAGCGAGCAAGGCAAGAGGGGCCTCCGAAACTACTTTTGAGTTGACTCAAAAGCAGACTCATTGTACCCGTGGGACCTCACATACAGTGTACGTCAGCTCGAATGGCGGCCAAGCGAGCAAGGCAAGAGGGGCCTCCGAAACTGGTGACTTTTGAGTCGACTCAAAAGCAGACTCATTGTACCCGTGGGACCTCACATACAGTGTACGTCAGCTCGAATGGCGGCCAAGCGAGCAAGGCAAGAGGGGCCTCCGAAACTGGTGACTTTTGAGTCGACTCAAAAGCAGACTCATTGTACCCGTGGGACCTCACATACAGTGTACGTCAGCTCGAATGGCAGCCAAGCGAGCAAGGCAAGAGGGGCCTCCGAAACTACTTTTGAGTTGACTCAAAAGCAGACTCATTGTACCCGTGGGACCTCACATACAGTGTACGTCAGCTCGAATGGCGGCCAAGCGAGCAAGGCAAGAGGGGCCTCCGAAACTGGTGACTTTTGAGTCGACTCAAAAGCAGACTCATTGTACCCGTGGGACCTCACATACAGTGTACGTCAGCTCGAATGGCGGCCAAGCGAGCAAGGCAAGAGGGGCCTCCGAAACTGGTGACTTTTGAGTCGACTCAAAAGCAGACTCATTGTACCCGTGGGACCTCACATACAGTGTACGTCAGCTCGAATGGCGGCCAAGCGAGCAAGGCAAGAGGGGCCTCCGAAACTAGAACCGAGAGACTCCGCCTGCTGTGTGCGGGCGGGCTGTGCTCCCTTGCATTGAATATGTCTCATTGCATCCATCCTTTTCTCCGCCTTTGCCTTCTCCTGCACTCCCTCTCAATCCTTCACAGGTCGAAGTCAAGCCATTGGCTCGCTCAAGGTGAGTCTCTTGATTGCAAAAAATGGATCGTGAGACGACTTTTGAGGTGCCTTTGTGAGTCGAAACGGATATTCACCAGGAGAATCAGGTCGTGGGTGCAAGGTATACTGAGTTTTGAGTCGACTCAAAAGTCGGCATGTGCGCAAGGTAGATTAGACATGAGAATTACTTGGAGCTTTGTTTTGAGTCGACTCATTACAAGGTAGATTCGACAGGAGAAACATGCCGATCCTTGGATTGGCTTGTCTTGACCCGAGTCAAGTCTCTTGTTTTAGGATCTCAGATCATATTGACTCTGGCCGAGTGGATCCGGCCAGACAAGCCACGTCCCGGGATTGGCTCCACTTGACAAGTCTTTCCAGGAGGGGTTGGGTTTGGGCGCTTCAAGGGGACAAAGGATCCGAGTCGAGTTGAGCAGCAGATTAGCCTTTGTGGCGCCTCGAAAGTTGGAAGAGGGGAAGGGCAGGGAAGGGGTGGGTGGGGGGAGATGGGGGGACACTGAAGATGATGGACTCGAGTCGAGTCGAGAAGCACATTTGGCTTTTGAGGTGCTTTTGAGAATTCTCGTATTAAATTTGAGTCGGTTATGAGACGACTTATTAGTTGACCAAAAAATAGTTTGAAGTTGCCTCAGTTTTTTAGGTTGTTCGAAGTTACCTTCTTGGTTACAGAACCGGTTGGTTGGTAGGAGCACAATTTGATTTCACAAGCTCACCTACTAGGTAGTGACGGCAGTCCCTTCACCTTTTGAAGAAGTAGGTTTCCTTCCCTGTCATGGTGATAGGAAGGAAGGGGAGGGGGGGGGGGGGGGGGGGGGGGGGGGGGGGGGGGGGGGGGTTTGGGAAGTTATCAGTGGAGTGGTAGAAAGCACGATCGCTTGTCATTGTGGGAGGCTCTTACGCTGAGGACCGATCCGGCCAAAACGCGCGTATGACTATAGTATTACTCGTGACTCACAGTAGTCCTGTTTTCTTGCCCCTTTTTCCAATGCTAGCAACCTATTTGTGAAGCACCGACACCATAGGACCTCGTGGTTGGTTAAAGATTTCAAGGCAAACGACAAGCTTGCATCGAATCATTTTCATATTCCGGCTTTTGAGGGGCCTCAAAAGCAGAATGGGGGGCAAAGAATACGATGAACTCGAGCCGAGCTGCACATTTGGCTCTGCTCTGCTTATCAGTGTTCATTTTGGCTGGCCAATCAGTTATGAATGCTTTACCCATGTTATATAAATATGTATTCTGGGTTATTTATTTTTATTTTCTTTCGTTATTTTGTTTCTTGTGTTTTCTTCCTTCCTTCCTTCCTTCCTTCCTTCCTTCCTTCCTTCCTTCCTTCCTTCCTTCCTTCCTTCCTTCCTTCCTTCCTTCCTTCCTTCCTTCCTTCCTTTCTTTCTTTCTTTCTTTCTTTCTTTCTTTCTTTCTTTCTTTCTTTCTTTCTTTCTTTCTTTCTTTCTTTCTTTCTTTCTTTCGTCGTTTCTTTCTTTCATTCATTTGTTCTTTGTTTCTTTGTTTTTGAATATCTTCTTCTTTTTCTGCTCTATTTTCAATTTTCACACCTATCACTCCCACACAGTAAGATTCACAGTTGATGGTGTGCTTTGCAGACATCCTGCTGAATTTGTCGTGATTTTCCATAGAGTTCTGAATCAATCTCTTCCAACTGTGGTGTGTCTTGAGTAAGTGGTTCGGTTAGTCAGCATTTTGTACTTTTCCTTCTCTTTTTATTTAACCATAATCTCTAACCGCGAAAAATATAACTCGCAGCCCAGGGCAGCTCGGGTCTATATTGTTGACGATACTAGACTTGAGACAAGCCGCAGCTTGGCCATACAAGCGTGTGTGGCACATTCCATCTCAACCCGACTAGGATCAAACCACTGTCGGCCCAGAGGCAGTCTGAATCATTCAAGGCAGGCTCGGCCCAACTCGTGCTCATGTTTCAATTCCGCTTTGAAACAGAGTTATTCTTCTCGTTGATGGTTGATTACTTGCCATCCCCATAAAAATACAAGAATACCTTCGATGGGAGATCTGTGCTATGTTCATACGAGGAAGAACGCGAACTTGTGTTCTAAGTTGGAATATACGCGTTTCGCGTTTTGTACGCATGCGTGTATACGCTAGAGTATAATACGCAATACGTCCAGAGAGGATGTTGATATACGCTTGAAATACGGAGGGGCGGGCAGCGTAAAAACTTTTCCGGGCAGGGTAAAATACCGATTTCTAGCGAGGGGAGGGGGATATGCACCCACACTTATCTCTTCCTGTTTTTTTTGGAATGGGATTTCTCGCGGATATATGCGGAAGTGCCTGAAATTGAAATGATCGCTATCTTCCTAAAACACCATCGCGGTGGAACCTTCCGCGGACGCAATTCGAACGTACGTGCACTCACTAGAGTGCTTGAGAGGGTAGATATGGCTGCAGCGGATTGGAAAAGCCATGTTATTGAAAGCGATGTGTCGTCAACTACGAAAATGGAGACAGCGTAGGTTGCTTCAGGCTCGCCTTGTATTCGTGCGTGCATGCTGTGCGTGGATTTCTTGGTGGGGATGGGTAGGTTGGATCTGAGAGGTATGTTGGGATTCAAAGCGGTTGAAAACTTTTGAACTCCAAATTTGGGAGCCAAAATTGAGTTGGCGATGTTCCTCACAAATTGTTCCGCATCGCAACTCGCAATTCCTATTTTTAGGTTTTTTTTTTTCGACGGGCTGCCCGCCCGAAATCCGAGCGTATTTCTAGCGTTTTGCGTTTTTACGTATATACGCCAGCGTACAAACGCAATACGCCTTGCCAGCCGAGCGTATATTCCAACTTAGCTTGTGTTTCCTTAAGGGGGATGGAGAAAGGGGGGGAGGCTGGCAAGGGAGGAGACCTTGTAAGAAAGGGAGGATCGTCCCGTCTTGAAGTACAACCACAATGGGTATTTATGAACAGCAGAGTGGAATGGCTATGTGTTGTTCGCAACTTGGCATCAACACGTGCTGGCATCAACTTGGCATGGTTGAAAAGCGATACGCATTGGTGGTGAGTATCCTCCACCACTTGGAGAGTGCCGCGCAACGCAATCGGAAATTTGTGGTTCTTTGCAATGGGATGCCGCATTGGCTGGTTGCGAGCGAGAGCACGTTGGTGGTGTAATGTGTATCCCACAGATGAATGTCGATGGTGTGTATGCACATACCTATGCATAGCAAATAGTGATATTAGGACGAGTTTGGTCTGTTGGATCTAGGTCGAATCTCTAATATTCTGTGTATGTACATACATACACCATCAACATTCTTCTGGCTGAGACGTTTTAGAACGGGAGTGCCTCGTTGTCGCTGGTGCCTAGACTGACACAGTCAATCCAAGTGAGCAACAGCTTGTCTACAGAGGCGAAAACTTCAGGAGGGGGCTCGCGGGGGCATGCAAACCGACATGTAAGGGAGCAAAGACGCCGCGAGGCATTCGAATGGCCATGTGCATCCATAAGGGTGGTATGCCTGTGGTGTGTGTGTGAGGTGTGGTGTGTGAGTTGCTGTGTGTCTGTTGTGTGTGTGAGCTGTTATGTGGTAAAGGGGGCGTGTGAGAGTCAGGTGATGTGTGGCACGCAGACAAGGGGGGGTGTACGCTGAAAGAGAGGGGGGCGTAGTTATTATGAGACGTCTGAAAAGCCCAAAACGTCTCCCAGCTGCTGCATGTGCGGTGTACAGGCAAGCAGGCCGTGTGAGCAGCGAGGCGGAGTGCTGTCGCCGCGTGCTGGCCTCACAGCAGGGAGCTGAGACAGTACTGAGAGAAGCTGAGAGAAGAACAGCACACTTGCTGGCTGAAGCTCTCTCGAAACCAGCGCACCTGCTGCATTTGCCGTGCACAGGCAAGGGGGTTGAGCGCCGCACACTCATTAGCTGAAGCTCTCTAAAAGCCAACGGTTCTCCACCCACCCGCTGCTATTGCGGTGCGCAGGCAAGCGGGTCGTGTGAGCCGCGAGGCAGAGTACCACCGCCGTGAGCCGGCCTCACCAGAGCACTGAGAGCAGCACACCCGCTGCTTCCTGCGGCACACAATGTCAGCGCGCTCCCTCCCACCTGCTGCAATTGTGATGCGCAGGCAAAAGGGCAGCCGTGTGAGCCGCGAGGCAGAGCAGAGCATTGCCGCCGTGAGCCGGCCTCACCAAAGGCAGAGGAGAGGGCGGGCGCTGAGAGCGGCACAGCACTCGCTTGCGACTCACTCAAGCCAATGCTTTTCCTACCCGCCTGCTGCAGTTGTGGCGCGCAGGAAAGGGGGTGCGTTGAGTGCTGCACACTCACTGGCTGAAGCTCTCTCAAAGCTAACGCTTTTCCTCCCACCTGCTGCATGTGCGTGCGGTGGTGTGCAGGCAAGCAGGCCGCCGTGTGAGCCGCGAGGCAGAGTACTGCCCCGCGTGCCGGCCTCACCAGAGGCAGAGAGGAGAGGGCGCTGCGAGCAGCTCAGCACTCTTGCTGGCTGAAGCACTCAAGCCAATGCCGTTTCTGCCCGTCTGCTGCAATTGTGATGAGCAGGCAAGCAGGCCGCCGTGTGAGCCGCGAGGCAGAGTATCACCGCCGCGTGCCGGCCTCGCCAGAGGCAGAGGAGAGGGCGCTGCGAGCAGCCTGTGAATTTGCTGAAGCTCTCAACAGGGGACGGTGCGGAAGGGGGAAAGGGGAGGCGATGGTGAAGGCGATGGTGCGATCTCACGTGCATGGGTGCTTCTGGCTGGTGAGTGCAGCTGGGCTAGTGGTTGCTGTTCTAGTGTTCTAACAGGCTAGTGGGGTTTAAAGGCAAGGCAAGGGGAAGAGATGGTGAAGGCAATGGTGCGATCTCACGTGCATGGGTGCTTCTGGCTGGTGAGCGCTGGGTTGGTTGGGTGGGTGGGTGGTGGGTGGGTGGGTGGGTGGGGGTGGTGGGTGGGTGGGTGGATTGGATTGTGTTGCGGTAGGTTAGCGGGCTAGTGCGGTTTGAAGGCTGCATATTTTTTTTGAGAATTCTAAAAAAACATGGTGAGGTGGGTGTGAGTGTGAAGACAATGATACGATTTCACGTGCATGGGTGCTTCTGGCTGGCGAGCGTTGGTCTGGGTGGCTGGATTGTGGGCCATTAGGCTGGCATACTAGTGGGGTTGTTAGACAAGGCAGTTATGCATGTTTAGTCCAGTGAAGTGCTATGAGTGCTTTGAAGTGCTTTGCTGCATGTGCCTCACAGCTGGTGAGTGGTGGGTTGGTGGCTTGCTTTTTGTGATGCACGTGCGTGTACGGCTGCTTCTGGCTGGTGAGTGTCAGTCAGGCTAGCGGAGCGGAAAGGCATTAGTGTATGTGTAGAAGGCTGCTACAGACATGTGCATGAGCACCTTCTCTGCCTGGTGATCTTTGAGTCAACTCAGAAGTCACCTCAGAGTGGAAAGGCATTACTTTAATACATGTGTAGAAGTCTGCTACAGAACAGACGCGTGCATGAGGACCTCTGCCTGGTGACTTTTGAGTCGACTCAAATGTCACCTGGCAGTGGAAAGGCATTAGCGCATGTGTAGCAGGCTGCTACAGACGGGTGCTTGAGCACGTTCGCTGCCTGCTAGCCTCATGTTGCACTACGCCACAAGTACCCGCTTTGTCATCCTGAAACATAATACAGTGGTATTGCCTTCATGGAGTGTATGTGCTTCCCCTCCTGCCTGATAACACATGTTTGAATATGACGCAACATAATTATACGTGTTGTGTCATTACCTCTATCAAACACAACACAGTGGTGAGACGTGCACGGAGGACAAGGCATGCTCACAAAGAAATAAAAATCAGTACTGTAAACACATGCATGGAAAAGTGCAAGAAACATTTGTGAGGTCATGCATGTGGATTTTCAAGCCTTAATGGAAAGTAAACATGTTAACAAACTAGATGACAAATCTGGAATAGGGGAATGATAATATGCCATGCTACACAGTTATGCTTAAATAGTTGCCTGGTTGATCAAGCCAGTGCATGTAACATGGCTTTGCTTCATTAGAAGTTTTTTCCTCTGCTCACTCTGCTTGATCTCTCCGCCTCTTTCAGCTTCGGTTTTTCTTTTCCACTCCTTTCACGGGTTCTTTGTTTCTTTTGGTCTTTTCTTTGTCTTTTTTTTTTTCTTTCTTTCTTTCATTCCTTTTGTTCCTTCGTTTGTGTTGTCCCTTCATGTATGTTGCGCTTGTTATCTTTGGTTCTCTCTTTCTTGCTTGCTTGGTTTCTTCTGTCATTCCTCTTTTTTTTCACTCTCTTTTGTTGTACACTTATTTTCTTCTAATACTTTTATTCTTAGAGAAAAACAAACCAAATCCTGTTCATTCCATGCCTAGCCAATCCAATGCCAGCCCAACCCCACACAGCAAGCCACGAGCAAGCGGCGGTGCAAACGCCTCTCAGCCAAGGCAGGTGAATTCTGCAGAGGCACAGGAGGCAGCTTTGATTCCATGCGTGCCCGTGTCTGTCCCACATGGTTTAACCTACCCCACACAGCAAGCCACGAGCAAGCGGCGGTGCAAACGCCTCTCAGCCAAGGCAGGTGAATTCTGCAGAGGCACAGGAGGCAGCTTTGATTCCATGCGTGCCCGTGTCTGTCCCACATGGTTTAACCTACCCCACACAGCAAGCCACGAGCAAGCAGCGGTGCAAACGCCTCTCAACCAAGGCAGGTGACATCTGCAGAGGTGCAGGAGGCGGTTTTGACTCCGTGCGTGCACGTGTCTGTCCCACATGGTTTAATATGACCTACCCCACACAGCAAGCCACGAGCAAGCAGTGGAGCAAACGCCTCTCAGCCAAGGCGGGTGACATCTGTAGAGGCACAGGAGGCAGCTCTGAGGGCGGCAGACAGACTCATGGCTGCCCTGCCCTCGCCCTGCATGGGAAAGCGCATCCACCCGTCTCAGATGTCCGGCGGCTTCTGGCTGGTCCGTCTTTCTCCATCCATCATTGTGTCTCCTTCTGGCTGGACTGCCTCCCTTTCTCCCTCTGTCCTTGTGTGTTTTGAGTCGACTCAAATGCCCTCGCCCTGCATGGGAAAGCGCATCCCTCTCAGATCTCCGGCGGTTTCTGGCTGGTCTGTCTCCCTTCGTCCGACTCCCTCCATCTCCCTCCATCTCCCTCCATCTCCCTCCATCTTCTCAGCACCTTCCGCTGTCTCGTTAAATTCTCTATCACTTCTTTCTTTGTCGGTCTCCGGCCGTCACAGACGTCCCGCGGTTTCTGAGGCGGCTCAAAAGAGGCCGTGCTTTCGCCATGTCCAGCCGTCTCAACTGTCCCGTGGCTTCTGGCTGGTCCATCTCTCTCTGGTAGCTGTGTCTCCTTTTGCCTCGTGTCATTTATCACTTGTCAGTTTGTTTTGTTTTTGTTTTGTTTTTTTGTCTCGCACTTGTCGTTTTCTGTCTCAGTCCTCGATTTGACTTCTTGTTTCACTGATTTCATGATTTCCTGTTTATACCGTACTGGCACCGTCACAGATATAAGCAGAAGATGATAATGGGGGACAAAGATTACAAAGGAAAGCAAAGAGAAACAAACAAACAGACAAATTATAATGCCCTCACATGTTTTGGTGTCGCAAACATTCCTTCAAATGGGTGTCTCAAGACCAAGAAGCACCTTATATTCACATGACTTGAAAAATCAACCGCACACAGAAGGAAACAAGCCGCGCACAAATGTACCTCGAGGCAAAACAATTCAACTGCCACAATCCTGCTGTGCAGCTCAAAGTAGTTGCATTAAGCAGACCGCACCACAAATCTCTTTCTTCACCAATTTTTTACGTTGAAATCATCTCGCTCCACTTCGTTCTCACTGTACCGCCTCCTCATCTCTCTTCCATCTCGCTATCCCCACTTTCCCCCCCATTCGCAGGGCCTGAACAGAAGCTTCTGCACAGCACACCTCCCTCGCAGCATCGCCACTCTCACTCTCAAAGTCGACCCGCCACAAGGCACTGCGGAACCCAAGGACAGCACCGAAGCCGATCCCTCTCAAGGCACTAGCGAGGTGACTTCTGAATCGACTCAAAAGTCATCTGATTTCAAGAGCAGCACTGCAGCAGCTGATCCAGAGGACACCTCTCGGGGCTCCAGCAGTTCAAAGGACAGCGTAGGAGGAAAGGGAGATGGGGACGGGGAGGAAAAGAAGAGAGACGTGAAAGCAGACAGGAAACGGGCTAGGAGCGGAAAGCAGGAGCCGCAGGAGGGGGACTCAGAGGAGGGGGAGTTGCAGCAGCTGCTGGGGGAGAGGAGGGCGGTGATGGGGGGGGCGTATGCAGTGGGGGAGGGCGAATGGCGGGCTACCTATCTGCCTCACAAGACGGGGTTAAGTGGCGGGTGGAGGGGGTTCGCTTTGGACCAGGAACTAGATGCGGGCGATGCCGTGGTGTTTGAGAAGATGGACTCGCTCACACTCAAGGTACACATACCGGTGCAGTGCGATGAAGATGTATACATGTATGGTTAGGTAAGGTTGGGTTGGGGTGTGATGAGTGAAGCGGGGGTTTGCTTTGGACCAGGAACTTGATGCGGGCGATGTCGTGGTGTTTGAGAAGATGGACCCGCACACACTCAAGGTATGCATGTAGGTGCAGTGCGGTGTGTCAACGGGAGTTGTGTGTTGGCCCCGTCCTCACTTGGGCGGAGCCGACTTCGTGGTCGGATGTAGGGTGCAGCCGACCTGCAGCAGTGGGCGAGTTGGTCGACGAGGTTGGTCGACCTGCACGGGGAGCCACTGCATGGGCGCCGACTTCAGGAGGGCGCCAACTTCGGCTGGTTGACCTGGGAAGTCGACCAGCCCTTCTGGTCGACCAGGGACGTCGACCAGGCCTTCAAGTCGACCAGGAGTGACGTCGACTTGGAGCTGGTCGACCAGGGGATAGTGGTCGACCTGGGGAGGTCGACTGGAGGTGGCCGTCGACTTGGGAGGTCGACCGGCACGTACCAGAGGCAGTGGTCGACCTGGGAGGTCGACCGGAAGTGGTCGTCGACCTGGGTGGTCGACGGGCACGCACTGGAGCCTCTGGTCGACCTGGTTGCAAGGTCGACCAGGTTACCTGGGTGACGAGGTGCTGCGAAGGCTTGCGATGGTCGCCCAGGTGGTTTTGGCGAGGACGACCTCGGTGATGGTATCCCGAGGTCGACGTGGTGCATCAGATGCAGTCGTCAGCACGAGGTGGACTTGGTGTGTGCGCTGTGCAGGTGACGAAGCAGTGCACGCCAATCATCTACGAGCACCTGCGAAGCGGGTGCGATGCTGGACTGCAGGAGCAACGCTGGCACGCCGTCGACTTGCGCTGTTGTCACGCCGTCGACCTGCAGCGTTGGCAAGCCGCGTCCCTGCACTGCTGGAGCGCGGTCGACCAAGTCGTGCTGGCACGCGGTCGACCGTGCTGCGCTGGCAGTTGACCTGCTTGCATCCTAGCTCTGATGTAGTCTTGTCTTGCCAACTTGATTGTATCATTATTGTCAACTTTCTCTAGTGAAACTCTTGCCAAATTGCCCCGTGAACTAGGAGTGTATGCACTATGAAAACAACTAAGGAACAGAGAACGCAGAGATCACACGAGCACCCGTGCCTAGCCCGCAGCCTAGCTCCCGTTGTAGTAGTTATCTCCGCACGGTGCAGGTGTATATGTTCAAGGTCAGGCAGGGTTGGGTTGGGGTGTGATGAGGTGAAGCGGGGGATTGCTCTGGATCAAGAGCTGGATGCGGGCAATGCTGTGGTGTTTGAGAAGATTGACCGAGACACCGTCAGGTACATGGGGGGTGCAGGTGCGAGTGCATACCAGAAGCTGTTTTTAGTCAACTCAGAAGTCAACTAAGAGCCGACTCAAAAGTTCGCTCTGAGACATCCTCAGGTACGTGCAAGGGTGCAGGTGAAGGTGTATAACAGAAGCTGTATGCAGCTGTGGTGGTGTGTGTGATGCTTGTGAATTGTGGTGTTGGATCAAATGCGGGGTGCTGTTACCAAGTGTGATACACCCCAGGTATGGAAGGCGTGGGATTTGGAGGGCTTGGAGCTTGGAAGGCCTGGGGAGTGAGTGAGATATATATGAGAGTGAGCAAGAGCCTGTGGGCAGCCTGGTAACCACCAGGAGAAAAACAACCGCCTGAATTTTCCTGGCTCTCTTTGGTTTTCTTGCTTGGGTCGGCAGATTCACATCTTCCCAGCAGCGGCCTTTGTGTCGTGTGCCATTGTAACGAGGTGACACTTGTGCCACTGTAACGAGGTGACACTTGTGCCACTGTAACGAGGTGACACTTGTGCCACTGTAACGAGGTGACACTTGTGCCACTGTAACGAGGTGACACTTGTGCCACTGTAACGAGGTGACACTTGTGCCACTGTAACGAGGTGACATTTGTGCCACTGTAACGAGGTGACACTTGTGCCACTGTAACGAGGTGACACTTGTGCCACTGTAACGAGGTGACACTTGTGCCACTGTAACAAGGTGACACTTGTGCCACTGTATCGAGGTGACACTTGTGCCACTGTAACGAGGTGACACTTGTGCCACTGTAATGAGGTGACATTTGTGCCATTGTAACAAAATTCACTCTCTTTGGTGCCCACCATCCCTTGGATTGGCAGGTTCACATCTTCCGAGCAGCAGACTTTGAGGAGGATGCAACTGCGATCAAGTCGGAGGGCAGGCCAGCAAATACCAAGAGGAAAACCAATGCCTGATGGGGTTGGGCTGATGGGACTATGTTTGTGCATGACAAGAGTCACAGCAGCACAGGGCACGCTCTATTGTCGGGACAAGAATTGATTGCTTAGAGGAGGGCCTTAGGATTTAGAGCATCCTGAGGCCTTAGGGCAACTCTGCAGAAGGTAAGAAAACGCCCTGATTGTTCAGGGGAGAAATTCTATGGCATCCTGTTACTACTACATTTTTTCTGCATGCAATTAAAATAGAAATATTGATTCTAATAATATATTATAAAATGGTGGAGAGCTGAAGGCCTTCACAAGGACAGGCGGAGATAAAGTATATCGAGAGAGCTACATGTTTTAGTTAGAAAATGCGATGAAAATGAGATGAAGCTGTGTGTATAATCCCAGCTAGTTTCTATCTACCTAGTTAGCTTCCCTGTGTAGTGACATGACAAGTATCAAAGTAGGAAAAAGAGCATTCTAAATACACTAGATGTTGGACTAGTAGATATTGGTCCTTGAAACGCGACCTAGTTTTCGAAAGCGGAAAGCGAGGAGAGTAGGTTCGGTGCCAAAGCTTCAGGCCAAGCCTCAGACACGAAGGTTTCGGGGTTACATGCGAAAGGGAGATTCAGTTCGGTAGTAATTGAGATTAATTAGCAAATGCAGTCAACCTTTGGAGTTGACCTGCTTCCCCGAGTTTGTCGCTCATTTCCCCCTCTGCTTTCGCCACCCCTCGCCGCATCGCAGCGCGGTTACAAAATCGGGCAGTCCCTAGAAACCCTTGCTGGCAGTCTCGCCAGCTTCAAACACAGCAAGCACCCAAGCCTTGGCAACACAAGCTCCAGCGAACATCGCGGCTCAGAATTTCGAACGCTGACAGCCAAGCGACCAAAGCGGTAACGAAGCACAGTCTCAGGCTCGGCCGCGACACTCTCCCTGCCGAGCCTGAGCACTCTCTCTCCCAAACCAAGCCACTGGGGACCTCCCTTGCCCTCCTAATTTCCCGCCATCCCGTCGCCTAAGTGCTGCCGAACAGGGGCCAGTCTACTACACCTACAAACCCGCAGCCAGACAGTATTTTTCAGTCGTATCAAGTTAGCTTCTGCGCACATACGCCTCTGGCCTTCGGATCAGCTTCACGTTACTCACGTTCCGAAGAATCACCACGATGGCCTTGGAGTCTGACTCAACAAAATTCAAACCGTCAAAACTTTGTTCAAAGAATGCCCTGGCAATGTTGAAAGTACTAGCAGGGGAACAATGCTGTTGGTCTATCTCGAGGAATCCTCAAGGTGCGAGGGATGTTTGGGGATTGCGCGAGAAGATTCACCAAGGATTCCCACGGCAGGTTCGGCAAAGAATGTTGTTTCAAACCTCTAGGTTTGCCTGTACTCGTTACAGCCAAAATTAAAGCCAGTTGGATTCGCGCCCCGCTTAGTGCACAACGCACCCACTCTCTTGTATGGTGTATTCACGCTTGTATATAATAATACTAATGTAGCATGAAATACAGTACAGCGTGAAATATAGCTGTGATGGATCCATTCTTTGCTGCAAACTGAATTAAACGTTTGCATTTCAAAGTCACAGTAAAAATTTCAACAAGACATTTATCAGGATACCTGGTCTGCCCTACCAACAAACAAATAAACAGAAACACACATCCTAGTTAAAATGCCCACATTCACACTCACTAACCAGGAAACTGTCAAATGTTGTAGCCTATAGTGAGGTTTGTCTTAGGGGGTACAAAACTTAGGGTTAGCTATATGTACCCCAACCAACATCAATGCATCATCCATTCCTCATTCTGACATGGTATCAGTTAGGTTAGGATCCTGTGGGATCCCGTTCCTCCGTTCTCCGTTCGTATCTCCCGAGCCTGATCCTACCTCTCGTTCGTACCGGTTCCGTTGTTACCGCGCCTAGTGCCGAGCCTAGCGCCCTTCCCCCCGTCGCCTAGCGCCCTTTCCCCCCCGTCACGTCGCGCCCTTTTCCCCCGTTGCGTCGCGCCCGTTCCCCCCCGTCGAGTCGCGCCCTTTCCCACCGTCGCGTCGCGCCCTTTCCCCCCGTCACGTCGCCCTGCCCCGTCCCGTTGCCCCTGCCCCGTCCCGTCGCCCTGCCCCGTCCCGTCCCGTCGCCCCGTCCCGTCCCGTCGCCCCTGTCCCGTCCCGTCCCCGTCCCGTCCCGTCGCCCTGCCCCGTCCCGTCCCGTCCCGCGGCCCTGCCCCGTCCCGTCCCGTCGCCCCGTCCCGTCCCGTCGCCCCTGCCCCGTCCCGTCCCCGTCCCGTCCCGTTGCCCTGCCCCGTCCCGCCGCCCCGTCCCGTCTCCCTACCCCGTCGCGTCGCCCTCCCCCGTCGCGTCGCCCTGCCCCGTCGCATCGTGCCCGCCCTTTCCCCCGTCCCGTCGACCCTACGCCCTGGCCCGTCGCTCTAGCCCGCTCTTCCGCTGCGACTAAGTCCCACCTGAACCCTAATTTGCCTCTTACCTCCTGCTGTTACTCGCCTGCTCGTTCGCGTTAGTTTCCCCAATGGCGACTCCGCGAGTTCTTCGTTTCGACGCTGACGGCAGACCTCTTGACTTTTCCGTCTGGCTCCTTCGCGCTCGCCGTCTGTTAGAGAGTCAAGTCCAGGGGGGCGAGACCCTCTGGTCGCACGCTACTGGTGACCTCCCCGAGCCCCCCGAGCCTGCCGCTTTAGGTCCTGCCCCTGACGATGCTGCTACGGCTCGCTTTGCCCGTCAGCGCGCTGACAGGACGGCTTGGACGTCGCGTGACGCTGCGGCCTGCATCGCACTCAGCAGCCTCCTCCCTGAGTCAGAGGAGGTCCACTTCACTCAGGTTCGCACCGCTGCTGCGTACCTCACTGCGATTAAGGCCCGCTACTCTACTCCCGCTACTGTCTCTCTTGGCCGTCTTTTCCTCCCGTTCCTGTTTCCTGATCTCGCCTCGTTTGAGCGCTCTGCTGACTTGATCGCTCACCTCCGCTCGCTCGACGCTAGTTACCGCGCTGCTTGCACTGAGGCACAGCTTGCACTGCTTCCTCCCCCCATGGCGATTACTATCTATTTCATCGCCACTAGCCTCCCTGACCGCCTTGCCTCCGTACGTGACGCGCTCCTGCTGAAGCACCCTAGTGAGCTGACAGTTGAGGTCCTTGAGTCTGCGCTCAAGGACGTCGAGAGCAACCTTCGCTCGGTAGCTGCCGCCTCTGGTGCTGTGCCCCCACCACTCTTCCACGGGTGCACAGTCCCGCAGTTACCCACCTTCACTGCCTCTCTTGCCACTGCCGCTACTGACGCGACTGCAGCTGCTGTTACGACTGCGTCGCGGTCCCGCGGCAAGGGGGGCAAGAAAGGTGGTTCTGGTGGAGGTGGAGGCGGAGGTAGCGGAGGTAGTGGGGGTGCTGTTGCGACTGGCGGTGGTGGGAGTGCAGCGTCTGGAGAGACCTCTCGTGCAGCGGCTGGTGACTCCACTGCGCCTGCTGGTGGTGGCGACACCCGAGCTCGTCAGTCGTCTCCTGTACTGCCGGCCCCGCTAGGTGGAGCAGCGGCGTGGTACCAGGCTCAGCGTCAGCAGCGGCTTCAGCAGCAGCAGCAGCCCCTCTCCTCCCAGCAGCCTCAGCAGCAGCAGCGTCAGCAGCTGGCTCCGGGGTCGGGGCTGCGTCAGCCCCAGCGTGGTGCTGCTTACCCTCCCTGCACCTATCAGGTTCTGACAGGTCCTCGTCGGGGCCACCCTTGTGGCCGCTTTCACCCCCCTGGTCAGTGCTTTGCTCAGCTCACTGACACGGTCCGGTTGGCCTACGGGGTTGGCGGTCCTGCCCTTGACTGGCTTCCTCTGGTTCAGCGCTACGGCTCCGCTCTGTGGGGCATGTCTGCTGAGCAGTTAGTTGATCTGATTGGTGCTCCTCATGCTATGTATGCTGTTGTTGACTCTAGTGTTTCTGACTCTGCTTACTCTGGTGTTGTTAGCTTAGGTGCTAGCCTTGCTCAGTTGCCTGTTGCTAGTGTAGGTTCTTGTGTAGACTCTAGTCCAGCGGCTACCTCAGAGGACGGTTCGCTGTCGTTCACGCTGGACTCTGGAGCCTCTCACTGCTTCTTTCGTGACAGCACGACACTTACGCCTCTTCCTGCGCCTGTTTCTGTGGCGCTGGCTGATCCCACTTCGGGACCAGTCACCGCGCGTCACACTACCACCTTGCCGTGTCCGGCTGCTCCTTCTGGGTCTCTCACTGGGTTTCACGTCCCCTCGTTCTCCCGGAACTTGGTGGGCGTGCGACCCCTTGTGAGTCAGCACGTGGGTGTGTGGTTTGAGCCTTCTGGAGAGACTGCGGTGTGTGTTGACGGGGACTCTTACCAGCCTCTCGCCACTTTTGCTGCTGAGCCGGGCTCCGGTCTCTACACTCTTCACACTGGCCCGCGCGCTCAGCAGCGACTGCAGCAGCAGCAGCAGCAGCCTCAGCAGCGGCAGCAGCAGCAGCCGCAGCCACAGCGGCCGCCGTCGCAGCAGCCACTCCTCCCAGTTCCTGTCCCTCCCCCTAGTCTCCTCCCTGCGTCTCACCAGGTGGTTCCGTCCCCTCAGGTTGTCGCGTCCAGTCCAGTCGCTGCGTCTTGCTCCTGTCGGTCGCTTGCCCACCCCACCGTTCTGTGGCACCACCGGATGGGACACCCTTCTCTTCCACGTCTGCGTGCTATGTCTAGTCAGCGTCTGGTCTTAGGTCTCCCGCGTGTCTTGCCGTCGCTGCCGCCGTCCCTTGCACCACCGTGCGGTCCTTGCGTCGAGGGTAGGCTGCGTGCCACCCCTCACTCCTCCTCCCTTCGTCCGGCCACCGAGCCTTTTGAGACGCTGCACTTGGACGTCTGGGGCCCCTCTCCTTGCCCTGGCCCTGAGCGTGAGCGTTTCTTTTTGGTGGTCGTTGACGACTACTCCCGCTATACCACAGTGTTCCCCCTGGCGAGGAAGTCTGAGGTGACTTCTACGCTGATCAGGTGGTTGCTTACCACCCAGGACACTCGTGGTCGTCGTGTCAG